CTGGGCATGTACAGAGAATGGATAAGGAGCGTATCCCAAAGAAAATATTATACAGTACAATAGGTGGTAGGAGACGTGCGGGGAAACCAAGAACTAGATGGATTGATGTGGTGGAAGAAGATGCAAAGAAGTTAATGGGCGTAAGGAACTGGAAGAGAGCAGCGCAGGATAGAGAGGAATGGAGGGGCTTGATAAGGGAGGCCAAGGCCCAACAATGGGCTATTGCGCTACAGAAGAAGAAGAGGAAGAAGAAGAAGGAGGAGGAGGAGAAGGAGGAAGGGAAGAAGAAGAAGAAGAGGAAGAAGGAGAAGGAGGAGGAGGAGGAGGAGGAGAAGGAGAAGAAGAAGAAGAAGAAGAAGAAGAATCTCCTGACACAGTACTAGACTTCAGATTTTGAAATACTTTGGCATGATAGATATTTCTCTGAACTGAATTAAAGTATATGGATCTAACAAAAGCAGCATTTTCTAAATTTAGTACATTTTCTGTTATCCATGTATTTCTACATAAGACAATTTAACAAATATTATCATCCTGAAGCTTGCTTCTTTTCGTGTGAAATTAACATTCAATAGGCATCATAACTTTCATAATAAATTCAGACCTCTTCATTCGTACTAATAATGTTCTTTGTACTCACTTTGGATGTCAGCCATGAAGATATCTCTTACTGCCATGAATTCTTCTTCAGGCGCCATGTTTGCATTGCCAAAGCTGTCATTTTCAGGCCATACTTCCCTAGAATATAACAAAATCAACTGAAATGTTCAAATGGTAATCAAAAGAAGAGTAAAAATAAGCAACAGATTATAATAAAGTGTGCATGCTATCCATAATGTATGACATTTGGGAAAGACTATACAAAACGACAAGACAAGATGAAGGGGATACAGATCAACCAATTTTTCTCATTACCAAATCAAACTAGCTATGGGGCTCTCCCAAAAGTTTCTGCTGGTTTCTTGCTTGGATCTTCAATAAAATGTGGGAACTGTTTACAGGATATACGGGAAATTAAATTATGGATCAATATGGCTGAAAATCAGAATTTCCAGACAGCTTTTAGCGCAAATCTCACACATTCAGTTTTAAGACAGATGAAGAGACATAACAGCCATATAAGGTACTCTCTTATACCGCACAAAGGACACAAAAACATAAGAGGGCAAAGAAAATAAAGAGTAACCAATATTTAAGATTTCGTCAGCTGGGCCAGTTCCTTATGGAACCAAATGACTTTTATGACGCACCATAAATAAAGTCCTACATTTCTTTCGAAGTGTAGGATTAATAAAGGGTTAATTCAAAGGGAAAGCACAATAGTTAATTGAAGGTCACAGTGCAAGGGTCAGATTTTATGGCCCACCCCTTATACACATACTAAGAAGTGGCCTCCGGTAACGTTCCCACCTCATGACTCAAGGTACGGGGTTCAAACCCAGCGGAAGTCGTGGAATTTTTAAGGGCGAAAAAATTCAGGGAAAAAGTCTTCTGGGAGGGACTTTAAGCCGTGTGTCCCATGTCGTAGATTTACGGCACGTAAAAGATCCTCATGTCTCTAGACCTCTGAGCAAAATTAGGCAATGTTTCCCACCCAAGTAGTTTCCAATTCCTCCAGTAGATGGGGAAGTATCGGGGACTGTCAGAGAGGTGGCCAACCTCGCTGGTAGAACAGGGCTGATAGCGAGCACCAGTACTGGAAGGGCATGGCGACTAGTAGAATAATTACAGGGGGACGCACAATAGATCAACAACTGGTCGCAGTGCATGGGGAAACCCACCCCCTCCAAAATAATAATAAATACACATACTAATACTACTACTAAGAGTAACCAAAGTTAATGGCTAGTTTCCATGGTTACTTACAAAATTTTACCTCACATCTTTATTTCACTTTCAATATAAATACTTGGAAGGCTATAATTTTTACATATATAATAGCTCTGAATCTTCAGAAAAGTTACGCCTTCCTTCTGATATTTTAGTTACGTCTAACAATATGAATCAAAATTACTTTTACAATGTTCTCATTTTAAATAAGCTATGACTTGTGGAAACATTGGTCCCTCATTCCATTCCAAACAGTTGCATTTAATCAAGTGTACCTTGAAGCACGCAGCAGACCAATTGCTTCTTCGAACTGTTGATTACGAAGTAATGTCTGAATCTTATGCATGGCATCAACCCTAGAAATAAACATATACACTACAGTAAAATGCACCTTTCAATATGTTGTTTCATCTTACTTACTTGTAATTTATTTAAAACTGCTCTCATTAACTCTGAGAATACAGTATTCAATCAGTGGGAGACAAAAAAATAATGAATTTGAAAGGATGTGAAACTCATCGTGGTCCAGTTCTAGGCAATAATGTGGAAATTCCATGCAGACACTGAGAAAAGCCACGAAAACCCACAATCAGAATAGCTGATATAACAACCAAGATTCAAACCAGGCACCTCCCAAATTCAATTCAGGATTGTTACTGCCTGACACAGTCACTCAGCTTCCTTTTTAGCTAACAAAAAGAGTCAAAATACTCATCCTCAATTCTATGTGGTAATAGGTTCATGTAAATAAAGACTGGACAACAATACTGTGACCAAAATAGGAACTTTGTCACTTCAGGTTGTTGCTTGAATGAAACTTTCATAAAGAACAGATATTTTTCATAACAGGCAAAATGCATAAATATAACAGTTAACTATCTTGTATTTAAGCATCCTGTTGCATTACTATATTTAACTGTTTACATACAATTTTCCGTCAATAATGTAACTATCTATTTTCACATCTGTATCTGTTATTAACAAAACATGTTCTATACATATATATATATATACATACATACACACACACACACATTGCTTAGACAAGTGGATGACGCCCCTTATGGGGTGGGAATTAGGAGTTTTTACATAATTTAAAATTTTAACGATATTTAGTCGATTTTAAATGGAATGAACTGTAAGATATAATATTTAAAAGTTGAGAGAAATTGTAATATTTTAATTATGAAATGTCCAGTTATGCATGTGTGGAATGGACATTATCCAGTGCAGTGTAGCAGGTTTGGCATAATGGAACACCTGAGGATGGCCGTATGGGGGCCGAAAAATGTTGTGTTAATAGCGGAAACAAATGTGGAAATAGACAGTTGCATTATTGATGGAAAATTGTATGTAAACAGTTGAATAGCAGTTAACTGCTGAAATATAACGAATATCTGCCTCTCACTTCTGCTCATCCATGTCCTTATCAGAAGCTGCGTCAAAAGGAACTATATCACTAGGAATATTCGCATCATTCTGAAACACAGCAGAAATCTGTGGTCCAAGTTCATCCCACAGTTCTTCAGGACTTCTTGTTGCTCCTTGTTCCCTTGGAGTTGATTCTAAAATACAGAAAAAAGTAAGACATAACATGTACTTGGAACATTACATTTTAAATCATGATGCATGTGTTACACTTCACTTTAGGAAAAACAAAGTAGGCACATGTAAACACCAGACAATTTTAGCTAGAATGAAATCTGAGCTTTGCCTTACATGTCACTTCAAATTGATCTCTGAACATTTCATTATTTTTATGAACTAAGCCTGGGAAAGTGTGCCCCTGGTGTATATCTCCAACAGCTGTCCCTTTTATATTACCACTACAGACCAACACAGGTACATGTGAAATCCACATTATGTTTTGATACCGTTCCATGAATACATAAAGAGTGGGTTAAATCTCTAAGCATTAATGTCAGAGATCATTTTTGCACATCACTCACTTTACTTAAATGGAAACAAGCCTTCATATCCATGGGATAATCAGTTGGATGGAATGGACTTCAGGAGTTCTCTGGCTGGGAATCGAATCAGGTCACTCAGCCTGCAGACACTTAGTTAGTTAGTTAGTTAGTTAGTTATTGGAGAGGGTGGGTTTCCCCATGCACTGAGACCTGTATTGGTCCATTGTGCTTCCCTCTATGATTTCTACCAGTCTCTATATCCTACCGGTACTGGTGCTTACCATCAGTCCCGCCCAGCCAGCGAGACCGGCTCTACTAGCTGAGAGGTATCTATAATGCTTCCCCCATCTACCAGAGGTATTAGAGACTGCTGTTGGGCGGGAAACGTCCGTTAATTTGGCTGTGACCTCCTTTGGAGATATGAGGTTCTTTTACGTGCCGTAAAGCTACGACACGGGACCCACGGCTTAAAGTCCTTCCCGGAGGACTTGTTCCCTGAATTTTTCCGCCCTTAAAAATTCGACGACCTCCGCCGGGTATTTGAACCCGCGTACTACGAGTCATGAGGTGGGAACGTTACCTCTAGACTACGGAGGCCGCTTCTGCAGACACTTACTTTACTGATGGTGGTGTCCCAGCAAATACTGTGATAATAAATCAGATATGTTGCCAAGTTCTTTATTTGTTGTTGATCACTAAATGTACTTATAAATTAACTTGAAATTCAAGTATAAGCCCTGATTGGCTAATATGAATCAAAAGGTTTGTTATGCTAGGAATTCTGTAATTAAGTCTCAAATTAAATTTCAAAAGCCCCCTCCCCTCAACCTCACAAAATCTGAAGTATTAGGTAAAAGTAGTAGTCTAAACTCTTCAATATTAATGAATATCACAGTTCATTAATACATTTTTGAGTAAGGATCTCCTATATTAAATTTACTAAGAAACAAATTCAGGCACAATAGAGATTCTACCTAATTACATCACAATCCATCAAATCACAGTTGATGTTGATATATTGGGTTTTTGGAATTTATCCATCGTCCTGGTTTTTAAGATATCAGTGTGTTATACACCATCGTCAGAATCCTATAGTAACCACAGTTGATGTGTTTCAAAAATATGGACAAAAAAAAAGGTAAAATAATAAGTATTGCATCTGCAGGAAAGTTCTGAACTTTATGAGTGTATACACATCTGCAGAACATGTGGTTTCATTCTAATACTTACTTTTGGTCTTGCGCTTCCTAGAAACAGTGTGTCTTTGAACAACAATGCTACGATTTGTACAGAAATGTTCCAGCAATTTCATAAAGATGTGCGCTGTTTCTATGAGGTCCTTCAAGTATGACCTGCAATGAAGAACATGCCCATGTTACTATATAACACTGAAATAAGTGTTACTGAAAATCAAGTTTGGAAAACAGTGAACTTGGTAAGAAACTGGTACAGCTGTGACAGAAATACAGTTCCTTCTGTGTTGAAAACAGTGGACCGCCTCTGTGGTCTAGCAGTCAGTTCCTGGCTACAGATCCAGAGGTCCTGGGTTAGATTCCCAGCGCTACCAGATTTTCTGAGAAGTAGTGGGTCTGGAACGGGGTCCACTGAACCTTGTGAGGATAATTGAGGAGCTACTTGAATGGAAAAGTAGCGGCTCCAGCCTAGAAAACCGAAATTAACTGCCGTGGGGATTTGTTGCGCTGACCAAGCGACACTCTATCTGCTAAAGTTGGCACTAACTTTGTCAACAAATGGTGGTCGCTCAGTTGGCAGAGTTCACTTGCAGACTAAAGCTACAGAGTTTGTTTCTTTTTGGTGAAAACAGTGACAAAGTGACAGGTGCAAAACCTCATTTCCTCGACAACTATAAGTACAGAATAACCACGCCAGATTTCATAAGACTCAAATTAATGGTTTAGAACAAGTTCTGAGAAGAACTAATCATCTAGAAAAGTAGCTCAAATCAGGCTACAGTCGCTTCCTTCCACATTCTTTCCAATTTATTATTCACTAACCATCCCACTAATTGATGCTAGTGAGCTACTGACAGCAATGTTAAATAAATTATAAATAAATAAAGAAAATGGAACCTCACTTTGTGAACTTTGTTTCATCAAAATTGAGAAGTAATGTCAGAATAAGCTCCCGATATTCCACTACATAGAAAATGTTACTTTTGATGACTTTTGAAGATTCCCGTATCATCGAGTTGTCAGATTTGTCCATGGCTGTCAATGTCATCAGTAATTCCTGTAACAGAATGGAAAAATACATATGCTGGAATTTAGGTTTTCATCATGGTTGCAGCACCATAAGAGTAAGCCAATTAGAAGCATACACTATATCTATGAAATACCAGGATTTTTCTGAAATTTATGGCATTACAATTCAGAAAACCTACTCTTAAAAAACATGTTTTAAATTACAGAATAATTCTTAACACTGTCCAGTGTGATTCAGTTTGTAGATATTTATTGCTTTTACATGTTTCAGTCAGCTGACCATCTTCAGAAGGTATAACATCAACATGTTCAGGAACTGCTATTACAAAGTTCTTAGTATTAAAAAAAAATAATAATAAAAAAAAGCTATCCCTGTAAGAGGCCGTGAAGGCCCATAGAGTTGTGAGACATTGAGGTTCCCACATTATCTAGACAATCGGCTCAAAGATGGCAGTAAGGATGTCAGCCTGTATGTACTTTGTAATAGTAGTTCCTAAACATGTTGATCTTATGCCTTCTGAAGATGGTCAGCTGACTGAAACATGTAAAGGCAATAAATATCTACAAACTGAATCACACTGGACGATATTAACAATTACTCTATAATTTAGTTTACTAGTGCGATGCACCAGAATAAATATAGTTAAAAAACGTGTTTTATTTATACAAAATATACATGATATAATATAAACAAAATGACCGCCTCTGTGGTCTAGTGGTCAGAGTTCCTGGCTACAGATCCAGAGGCCCTGGGTTCGATTCTGGGCGCTACCAGATTTTCTGAGAACTAGTGGGTCTGGAATGAGGTTCACCCAGCCTCGTGAGGATAATTGAGGGGCTACTTGAATGGAAAAGTTGCGGCTCCAACCTAGAAAACCGAAATTAATGGCTGTGGGGGTTCATTGCACTAAAGTTGGCACTAGCTTCACTGACAAGCGGCGGTCACTCAGTTAGTATAGTTCACTTGCAGACTAAAACCACGGAGTTTTGTTTGTTTAAATACAGGGTGTCCCAGGAGGAATGGACCAAACTTCGGGAGGGTGTTCCTTATGTTAAAGTATGCCGATATAACCCAAAACACCTATGTCCAAAGTTGAACGGTTACGGAGATAATGGCCAGAGAAGTGTCAAATTTTGACCGGTGTTACACACTTGTTGATTACAAAATACATATTAAAACTGGCAGGAATATGTGGATTCTGTAATGTTAATAATGTACGTAACATCAAACTAACTTGTGAGTGACGGAAAGCCATAAAATTGAAGTACGAAATACTCGCTCGCCATGTCATAATTGTCCTTAGGTTTCCAAGCACTATACATGACACATGACTGGCGAGCGATGACGTAATATGGCTGCGCTATAACCCGACCACATAACTGTAAACGTACATTCACAGGAAATCTCTTTTGGAATTTCGTTTCCATTATCTCATGTGGATTATTATGGAACCACGTATGCACATTTCGTAAATTATTTACACCATCCAGGGTAAAAGACGCCTCATCACTGAATAAAATGACGCTTAACAGTTCGGGATGAACTTTTTATCCAGTGGCACAAATCCATACGCTGTGCATGGTCGCCTGGTTCCAGATGTTGTACCATTTGATCATGGTAAGAATAACTCTTCATGATGTAAAGTTTGCCACACCTGAATACGTGATACGCCGATGCGAGAGGCGATTCTACGAGTGATAGACGCGGACTTCACTGAACAATATCAAGAATGTGCTCTCGTGTGTCTATCATTCGTACATCCTGCCTTTCAGAGTGCACAGAAACACTTGCAAGAGAACCAGTATCACGCAATGTCTGGTGAATTCGCGTAAATACACTTCGAGATGGAATCCTTCGATCGGGAAAACGCCTTTGGTATTCTTCAACAGCAGCACGTGCATTGCGACCGCAAAATCCACACACAAAATGCATATCACAATATTCCACGTGTGAAAACACAAGAGGCATTTCAGCAACTCATCACACAACTAATTTACCACCCATTCACGACCCCGCCGCAACGTAATCTGTAGGCTCTGGTAGGTTGCGCATGAGATCACGGCTAGTGTGACATCACCACACTCAAGTACAAACAGATAACAGTCACAGCTGACTGTCCACAGTGCGTGGACCTGCAAGAAGACCACACTTTTCTCGGGCCATTATCTCCGTAACCGTTCAACTTTGGACATAGGTGTTTTGGGTTATATCGGCATACTTTAACATAAGGAACACCCTCCCGAAGTTTGGTCCATTCCTCCTGGGACACCCTGCATAAACAAACAAAATGTAAGAACTTAACAAAGTCTCTATTTAGTGTACATGGTGAAACCAGCAAGAATTGTATACATAATTTTGTCTTCCAGTTCTGTCCATAAATTTTAAAATGCAGGATCTATAATAAATTTGATACATACAAGCTCCATGTTTGTACCTTAAAAATTAATATATAATTTCAAGCAGTTGCCATATTGTCATTTCCCATTCTCCAACATCTGTATGCTGTTTGAAGATTTATTCTGACATTAGATTTCATGACTTTACATTAGATGCTGTTACTCCCATCTCAGAAGTCTGCAAGAATACCACTTTAGCAATACTGTTGGTAGAAAATTAAAAGCATAAGAGTTGAAGCAATCTCTGATGTTGTACCTTCATACGAGTTTAATAATAACTGTCAACTGGTTCCAAAGTTATTAATAAAAAAACATGACAACAGAGGAACACTATGATAAACTATGCTCAAAACCATTTAAGAAGAAATAACATAAAACAAAAACAAGACTGAGATGTTGTATACAGAGCTACCAGTAGCATTCTTTGAAGTTTATTAAGCTTATTCAAAAATAGGAACAATTAAATATAAATTAATGATTCCCATATCAAATTTCAACAAAATCCATTGAAGACTTTATGGGATATGTGAAAAAAAGATATCACTTATGGCCTTAGTTCTAGATGCATATGGGTGAAAATCAGAACTGTAGGACAACTTTTTGTGGAAGTCTTACATATTGAATTTCAACAATATCCAACAAATAATTTATGGACACATGGAAAAATCCATTTATTACCTTGTTTAAAATACACTTTTTCATAGACCAATATGAATCAAAGCTGGGATTGCCTGACAATTTCAATTAAAGTCTACAACACCAAAATTTTAAGAAAATCTGACAATTTAAGAGCTGAGATAAGGCCACAGGCAGACAAGACTCAAACATGAAGTTTTCTTTTTCACTTTATAAATATGCCTACAAATTAGATTATTATTTTACAGCCTCAAAGATATGTTTACCTTATGTTTTCCTTTACCAATGACAAACATCTTTACCTGATATGCTTTAAGAGCAAGATGCATCCTTCGTGACCACAGCAGCATTTTCTTCTTGTCTGACATTAATGCATCATAACAATTCTCCATCTGTGTCTGAACATAATGGAATGTTTGTACCGACATTGTTTCACTGCAAGAGTTACGTAATATAACAGAACATTAATTAACACATTCAAAGGTAGAGACAATATAATATGGTTCTTGTTCCTAAGTGATACTCTGTAACATGAACCATTTAATATTATCAAGCAATTAAGCATCTAAAAGCAACAACCCACTATGAAAGGGGAACAAGGACAAGAGAGCAGGTACGGGAAACTCTGTCAATAAAGGGTCAATTTATGTATACAAGGGGATCAGAAGCTTGAAATATGTCTGTAGTATACTCCATAAACTTACAATTTCATGCACCTTTGACATAAATGTAAATAAATTTTGAATTAATAGCTTAAGTCAAGGGAGATAAGCATATGACAAAACATACCTGACAAATTTAACCTGAAATTTGTAATTTCTATTGAATTCCATGAAAAACTTCATGGCCCATAAGTAGTATGACTCATCATTAGCCTGAGCCTTCGCTCGAACAAGTCCATCCTAAGAACAAAGCACAGCTGTTCTGAAACATCTGTAGTACGGGTATTCCATAACCAATTAACATACTGTTTATGTGAATGCATACCTCTCCAGTCATATATACAGTTTGAGCACAAATGAGTTTTACACCTTCAGAAATTTACTACAAAGCAATGGGGCGAGATATAACACCTGAACTTACATTAAACTACTACTTGTCATCGAGTATTGGAATGTACTATTTTCACTGAAAAGAATTTTCAGGAAATTGGATGAATAACCAGTGGAGCTTGACTGGTCCTTGCACCATGACCATCAGTGATATATATATACAGGCACTTACCTTCACATGGTACATCAGTGTGTTATATGCTCCATTTAGAAACTCCACACAAAACTCCTTCAGGAATAGTCGGATACTAAAAGCAGATCGTCGTTGTAACTCTTCATCTCTCATAGGAAGACGATTCTTTGGTCTCCTCTGCTTTGTCTATAACAACATAAAAATAAATATAATTAGGTGTAGATTTGTGCATAAGTTGATAAAACAGAAGCAACGGCCACTGGCAATGTTCATGTGACCTAAAATGGATTAAAGCCAATTAGTCACAACAATAACAAAATCTTCCATAATTTAAAAAACCAAGAACGTTTATTAGAAAAACAACATTCCATTTTAAGAGAGAACAAGATTCAGTTCCACAATCAGAATGTCAAAATATTGTTACATGCATGGAATAAAATCCTTCCCAAGAAGCTGACAGTATCTCAGCTGGTTAA